GCTTCAACTTTTGAAACGATGCGTATTGAGCAGGAGTCTCAGTCAGAGCACTGACACTCACTGGGGATGTTTGTACCTTCATCTGAATAATATCAAACAGGAGGAAGAAGCCGATATATTGACGGAGACTGAGCACTACCGTCTAATAGAAATCAGTCAACAGGAAAAGAGAATAATTGAAATAAACAATAATCCTACATTATGTCAATACTCCTTGAGAATATCAAAGGATTTCGTTCATTCTAATCAACAAATTTTTCATATTTTTCTGGATTATTATGAGAAGCAATGGTAATCAATAAGTAGATTTAACTTAAATTTATTACGACAGTCTGATTAAGTGAGAAAAAAGGAAGTAAACGACTCAAGGCAGTAAGGAAGCCTTCAGAAGCAGCTAACAAACCACCGCACAATACCCCAATAATTCATACTGAGTTTAGTTTATAAGAAGAAAATGTAGTGAAAAAAACTCTTCTCTGCCTAATATAGTCATTTTTACAGATAATCTTAATCTAAATTACCTGAGGCAGTCTGAAAAGAGAGGTAAGCGAATTCATCTGAACCTTTATTAAGGAGTGTTTATGTTAGTATTCCACAAGATATACTTAGCAGAAGACATAACATCCTTTCTGAGAATGATGCTTTCATAAAAATAATGAAATTTCATAGATTAAGTGTAAGAATGAACTTAACAGGTTATTGCAGGACACCATTACGTAAAAGATTTTATTTTGATAAATCACACAGTGTTACACAGTAATATTAACTGATGACGTTTCGAGCACAAACTATCGCCACTTATAATCATATCAAGTTACTCACACAACTTTTTTCTTCATTTACATACATGTGTGGAGTTGACTAGATATTTGAATAAAAATCAATATGAGATAATGTACATTCAGAGATAATAATGTGAGTGCTATTGATCAAATACAATCAAATGGGAAATAAGACGAATGTTCTTATAGTTATAATAAGTAACTTGTTAGAATGTTGTGATGTACGTGAATTGAAATAGAATATTAAGTTTATTTATTATCCTCTTCTGATTTGACTCACTGGTGGTAATAATATCTTCCATATTTCTGGTATTTGCATTGAGTCATTTCTGTTGCATGTGTTGGGTGTAGATTCAATGAACCAGGATTGCACTACATGCAATAAAACACAACCACACAATAGGGTGGGAGAGGGTTAAGATTCTAAGAAGTAGTCTTTGAAGATGGAGAGAGAGATTGATTACTGAATCCTGGTTCATTGAATCTACACCCAACACATGCAACAGAAATGACTCAATGCAAATACCAGAAATATGGAAGATATTATTACCACCAGTGAGTCAAATCAGAAGAGGATAATAAATAAACTTAATATTCTATTTCAATTCACGTACATCACAACATTCTAACAAGTTACTTATTATAACTATAAGAACATTCGTCTTATTTCCCATTTGATTGTATTTGATCAATAGCACTCATATTATTATCTCTGAATGTACATTATCTCATATTGATTTTTATTCAAATATCTAGTCAACTCCACACATGTATATAAATGAAGAAAAAAGTTGTGTGAGTAACTTGATATGATTATAAGTGGCGATAGTTTGTGCTCGAAACGTCATCAGTTAATATTACTGTGTAACACTGTGTGATTTATCAAAATAAAATCTTATCTATAATGGAGTTATACTCTATCACCACAGTGCCTAAGTTTTATACTTATATAGCAGGACGACTTTTATTTCAGACTGCCTAGACAGTATATTTTGAAGTAGCATGGGTATGCGTAAAACAGATTACTGATTGCTATACGGCCTACATAATAGATTTTATAGACTGGCAGGTTAAAAATCACTAGGCATATATATGTGCGTTGAAATAGCTGTCAGTAATGTCATAAAGTTATCTATGAAAAGTAATTCAGGTGTATGTTCTTTCCTTTTTAAGTACTTTTGATTGTTTGATTTCATTTCTCATGCATGATATTTTTGTAGAGCTCTTAATCCTTGTTAGACAAGTAGAATCCTTTTTACCTTAAGTGGAAATAATGTTAGTGAAAATACAGGAATCAACAAATAGAGTATATATTCTTACAACTAGCAACCTTTTTTTTACTGTTTTTGACTAACTTGTAATTCTATCCAAGCGATAACAACTACTTGAAGAAATTTGGTGGATGGTGACTAGCAGTGGAATCCAGGATGCACATTTAGTCCTATTCGGGACTCGTCATCCGGATGTACTTGCATTCCCCAGTGAGTAGTGGTGTTCCCACTGAGGCTCGAACCCAGTACCCATCGTTTCAAACGCCAAAGCGTTAGCCACTAGATCACTTGGGTCACGACAACCAACTCTTGTGCAACGGTTGCACAAGAACAACATCACTTACTGGGGAATGCAGGCATATCCAGATGACGAAACTGAAATAGGAGGAAACGCGCACCCTGGATTCCTTTGCTAGTCACCTAAAGTTAATCCTCAGACATCTCTGAAGTATGCATACCAGAAGCCGACACGTCAACAGAGTCCGAACATTTCGGTCCAATGAATCAATGGGAAAATCAAAATTGAATTACAGTGGGATAATTTATACACTAGTTTGGTGTATTAAAGGGTAATCTTATTTGAGCATATTGGCAAAGGCCGAAACTAGATAAACAGAAAGGAGATAGCAAAACAGTTAAAACAGTTGCTAGAAGATAGTTGCCAGGGTGATAAGTCTTTTTTCATTACTATGAAATACCGTATTTTAGATTTTGGAAATGTATCTTCAGATTAAGTTATATTAACTAGATAAACCACCAGGAAAAGCATCACACGTAGTGTGATCAATTCTTTCTTTCTGTCGTAAACAAGTTCACTATTTATGGTGAATACTAAATTTACTAAGAAAAGGTTCTTCAGAGCGAACAATCAGCGATAGGTTTCGGCTGACTAGTATTTGTTTTTACGTGTTACAATTCAAAAGCATACTGAACTTGCCCGGGCTACACTAAAGAGGCTTAACTTGTATTCGCGAATAAATAATAATAATAATAATAATAATAATAATAATAATATGCTTTATTCCAAAACAGTACTTGTGATACAGAATGGAATTCTCAGCATTTTTACTACAGTATTGCATCCAGTTAGTACATTGTCAATAAATAGAATTCTACATAGATTGAGGAAACCACAGTTCATTATTACAACAGTACATTGGTATGTTCAGTAGCAAAGGTAAAGCTGAAACAGTGTTTGAAGGTGTTAGAAAAGTGGGAGCTGTCTTATTAACTGGCGTAAGCGAAAGAAAGAGACAAAGCAGCACATAACGGAAAAAGAAGAGAGAGAAAAGGAACAGAAAGAAAGGAAATGTTGAACCTATTGATGAAGTGGGTTGGAAAGATGAGATCCAGTTATACTAATGACTATTTAATGAATTATAGGTGTCACGCCTAATGCTTTCTTTATCACACAGAACTCGAGCTAAGTAGGGTATGGTTGAGTTTTTGTACTTGCTGGTGCGAGCATATAGTTTTCTATATTGGCTTCTGGTTTTACCTGATGAGATGCAAGGGGAGAGTTGTGAGTGAAGAGGGTGGTGTGAGTTAGATAAGATGGATTTGGCCCATTTTTCACATGAGTCCATGTGCCTGTCAACCAAAATATTAACAAGCTGGTTGAGTGGCACGTTGCTTACTCTGCTGACAACATTTAACATCCTACGTAATATGTTATAGTCTTTCTTCAGTAGCCCAGGAAAAACTAAGGGGGAACAATAGAGAATAATAGGCAGGATGCGAGAATTAACGAATTGTAGGAGTAGGGGTTGGGTAATACCAGAATGTTTTAACTTCTTAATGTAGAAGGCAAGACGGAATATTTTCCTAGAAATTGCTAAGATATGAGACGACCAGGACAGATCAGCAGATAGAATGACACCTAGGTATTTAATTTCCGATTTAGTTTCTATTTCAGTGCCATCTATTTTGCATACCTCGTGAGAGCCAAACAGTTTGTTTAGGTCGGATTTATGCCTAAAGGTGAAATTGACTGTTTGGCATTTGGAAGGGTTTAGAGTAAGACCATTTTCCTTGGACCACTGGTTGATTTCTGACAGAAAGCCATTAAGTTTAGAGCAGTCGCTTTGACATTTGATAGGCAAAGATACAGACAGATCATCAGCGTATTTGACAAAATTAATGTCATTTGAAGATGGTAAGTCGTGTAGAAAGAAGGAAAAGAGAAGTGGGGAGAGTACAGCGCCTTGGGGGACTCCGGCTTCAGTGAGTGCAGCAGAGGATGATTTACCTTTGTATACGGTGTACTGCTTTCTGTTAGAGAAGTAGGAATGCAACCAGTTAGTGACCCAGGACTCAGTTTTCGTCAAAGAGAGCTTATTTAGAAGGAGACATCTGGGAACAGAGTCGAAAGCAGAAGTGAAATCAAGAAACGTGCAGCGGACGTATTTAGCACCTTTATCTAATGATGAGACGATGTTGTTGTGTAAGACAGCTGCAGCGTCTAATGTACTCCTACCCTGTCTATAGGCAAATTGTTTTGGGTCTTCGAAGTTTTTAAGGGAGGGTTCGAGTTTAAGAAGTATTAGTTTTTCCATAACCTTTAGGAACGGGGAAGTGATGGCAATGGGTCTGAACTTTACGTTCTTGCCATTTCCAGGTTTAGGGACAGGGACAATTTTGATGTCTTTCCATGCATCAGGTACGATATTTTTGGAGAAAGAGGCATTTAGGATGTTGGTTAGTGGAGAACACAACACATCTGCACATTGTTTTAGAACATAGGCAGGTATACCATCAGGACCTAGGCTACGTGAGGGCTTGAGTGTTTTAAGACATTTTAGAACATCAAGAGTATTAAAGTCATGAAAGTTTTCAGCAACATGATAGGTAACATTAGAGGTAGTTAAAGTAGAAGGACAGCGTATAAAAGACTGATTAAGAGCATTAACATCATAAGAGGGAAAAGTATTACAACGCTTACTACTACCAGTAATTTCATTAAAAAGTTTCCACATACTGATTGGAGATTTACATGATAAAAGTGTATCATTATATATAGCATTAAGATTTTTGATTTCAGATTTGATCTGAGCATTAATCTTTTTGAGTCCTAACTTGTCTTTGGATTTGTACAAAGTTTCTTTTTTCCTGCGAAGTTGTTTGAGATAAGGAGATGAGAAGCGGTCAAGACGTTTGAATAGAGTTTGTTTGGGACAACATATATCAAGGCAAAACTTGAGATAATCCGTTATATTGACGATTGTGTCATCTAATGAACTTTCATGGAATAAGTCCCAGTTAGTATTTTGTAACATGCACCTTAGATTGAGTAAGTTTTCGGATGAGTAGCATCTTTGTTGTGCTTTCATAGACAGATGCGAGAAGACTTTAATGTGTGTTTTGCTGTAAATTTTTGGTAGAACACGAACAATAGAGTGATCAGAGTTGAGGATCGGTGCACGTTTACGTGCTTCATAGATTCCTTCATCATTTGTAAAAACTAAATCCAGTGTTTTGTCTAGTCGAGTGGGAAATTTGACAATGTTAGAGTGACCAAGTGCTTCAAGGAAGGAGCAATCTGACGAGTTAAAGTCCCCAGTAATAACAGACAGAGAGTTGTCGAAGTTGGCAGCGGCGAACATGGTGAATTCATCGGCAAAATTTGAAAGATTAGATAGAGAGCAACTTGGAGAAATGTACATGTTTGTGATAAAGATGTGTTTATATTTGGGGAGATGTTTGGGACGACATTTGACGGTGATGCAGTCTATGAAGTCATTTGAGAAAGAGAAGCAAACATTATTAGAAATAGACCATTTTGAGTTAATAAAAGTTGCAACTCCACCCCCACTTTTCTTATTACAACATATTCGGTCTTGTCTAAATAGGATGAAGTCCTTTAGAGAGATGAGATTGTCATCGTACAGTTCGTGTAACCATGTTTCTTGTAATGTGATTATCGCAGTATTGTGATAAGTGTCAGTGGACATCAAGGATTGTAGGTACATAATTTTGTTAGGCAGAGAGCGGCAGTTGGTGTTCATTATGACAGGGACCGTGGTTAAGTGTATTGGTGTACGTTTAAGAGCTCTTTGCCAGCCACTACGATGCTTCCTCCTTGGTTTCTTGGGAATATGAAAGTCATTGGGTCGTAAATGAATGATAAAGTTGCGAGAGTAAATAATCCTTTTGGAATTCATATTTGGGTGATAAATAAATGGAGTAAATGGTAGGTTGGATGCAATATGTAGATTTTATGATAGCAGGCCCAAAAATTCAAACAGGCCGCCAAGGTCACCTTCAGACAAATAGTTAGAAAGTGGAAAGTCTACTTAGACATATGTTTACAGATATATATATATATATATGATGACATGTTCAATTATCAAGTGCTGGTTTGCAGGGATCTGATTGGTTACAGGACTGATCACGAGTTGACATCAGTGAGAGAACCAGTGAAAACCAGCAAGGAGTACTGGATGGCTGTTTCCTCCTGGTTTGGGAGTCCTCAACAGTACGCACCCACCAGGGTTCTAACCCAGGCCCTTCCGGTTACAAGGCGACCTCGTCGACCACTCAGCCATTGAGACACACAGTTATGACTGTAGTGCAACCTAGGATTTCTTACAATATCAAAATGTGTGTATTTCACTTGCTTATTTATTAGTGGAAGTAAATACACTGGAAATATGCTAAAATGCCTGTCAGCATTGTTGTGTTTACTATGTAGTACTTATGGCATCTCAAAGTTTTCAGTAACATTTCTCATCATGATACTGTTGTCAATAAAGCTTTTATTGTTAATTGTAACAGGCCTAACCAGAAACCACTCTCTGCAAAATGTTGTCAGTTTATATCAAAAACTGGATCTTTGTCCACAGAGAGATACAGCTATCAGACAGAATACTCTCCCTCTCTAATTCATAATACTGATTTTATAAGATTAAATAAATATATAATTGAACTAGTAATTATTATCAGACGAGTACTTATTGTCACACAGACAGCTGGATGCATTTTCATTTTGTTGCATTTTATCATATTAGTTATCTCAGTCATTACACTATAGACTGAATAAATAATGGTAACAATGACAATAATATTAACGATAGTTATACTGTTTTATGAAATAGTTTTTGGTTCACACTTTATGTGCGTGTGTGTGTGGTTGTCTGTGAGGTATGCAAATTTGATAGCCATATGCTGATGTTGCAATTAGCGATTTATAGTATAACTGTCATAAGAAAAATAATAGATTATAATCAAGTCATCTGAAATCAACTTTCAAGTTGGAATTCATGGGCTAGCCATTGAGTTGGGTCCCAGCTTCTGAATGGTCTAAGAGCTCTTCTCATAACCAGAAAATCCTGGGTTCAAACCGTGGTGGGTGTGGACAGATGAAGACTCCCAAACTAGGGCGACGAAACAGCTGTCCAGTACTCCTTTCTGGTTTTCAATGGTTCTCCCACTGATATCAATCGGTGGTCATACTTGAAATAAAGAGAGCAAACTTTCTCATATTACCAAAGTAGAATGAAGACTGATAGTACACTTCTGTCGGTATCAGTTAATTTTATCACAGTATAATCAAAGTGTCGATTAATTAAAAATGAGGCAAACAGTTAGAAACTCCTATTCAAGTATTGGTTTGTAGGGATTTGATTGATTGGTTACAGGATTTCATCATGAGCTGACATCGGTTAAAGAAGCATTGGAAAACCTGGGAGTACTGCACAGGTGTTTCGTCAGCCTAGTTAGGGACTCTTCATCGGTACGCACCGACCAGGGTTCGAAACAAGGACTTCCTGGTTACAAGGCGAGCTCGTACATCGTTAAGCCACTGGGACCCGATCCAATAGCCGGCCCATGAATTCCAACTTCTGCCAATTCACGACCATTAGCCAATATCTTCGACGAGTATTTGTCCTCATACCCGACATGCTGTAGTATGTGATTGTACTTAACTGTTTTTTCATTACATAAGATGTTTCTTGTAGAGTTACTAATAAATTTTTTAAAATTTAAAACTGAGTGAAATTAATATGAAGTCAACCGTTTGTAAAACAGTCTACATAAAATTCAGTAAAATAATTCTGGATTTCAAATATAATTCTCGGAAACAAACATCCTATCCGAAGAATATGAATTACATTCAATGCTATGCAATATCATGAAATCCATAAGAAAAGGAAATAATACGAATAATGCAGTAAAAAAACGCTAGTCAAACAAAATTCATCAACATCTCTTGAAACAAAAAGACAAAGACAAACAAGCAGAAATTTATCCGCATACAGGAACAGTAAAAAAATAACCGATCCAGTCTTCAAACAAAACCATGAAAACTGCCTCAGTTAAATTGTCTTCAATGTTCAACCCTACCACCTAAACCTCTATGAAGATTTAATTGATAATAAGAATTTAAAACCAAACTAAGAATTAAAGCAAATAATTTGTGACTTTTAAGAAGCATTAAATGAACCTAAATACTATGTAAGTATGTACTGTTTATCCATGCATCTAAATATGTATATATTATAAAGCTCATATAAATCTAACTTTGTAATACAACTTCAAATCATGAAAGCTGAAGGAAATTGATAGTATGAAGACATATACAAATAGATTAAGTCTTTAAACAAAGAAAACCTATAATTCAACAAGGAAAGACAGTCAAAAATCTATTCAGTGGTGAAATATTGAAGAGGTCTTTTATTCAGTTCTTCGCGTTACGAATGGGCCTCAAGCATGGAGCTTTAAAGTTCCAGTAGCAGTGGTGACGTTTTCTTTTACAGAGTGGAATTGCTAGCCACATTACGAACCCTCCGTCTTTTTTGGGCTTACCATCGGCTACAATACTTCGCCGGGTTTAGAAGTTCGTTAGCCAGGACCATAAACGTCACTAGCCAGCATGCTACCATTGAATCACCAACTCACTGAAAAGGTCTAGTGTGCAGTAAAAAGCCACAAATAATCACAAATCAACAGTCAAACTAAAACGTCCCTCAATACAAAGGAGATTTTATATGGTCACTGAAGAAAATGTATCGAATTCACTTCTTCGTAAAAGATCTCCGTAGATAACCTCCATACTAATCTTCAAAAACATGTGCATCATATTGTTGTTCCCTTAGGTTCCGAGTGAAACATAGGTCTTCAGAAGCACGTCTCCATTTTATCGTATTTTCTTTGATCGTCTCCAGCTGGCCCTACGACCGCCAACAGTCTTTCATCTCCTCTTCACACGATTCCTTCCATGTCAATATCGGACCAATGCCCAACTCGCTGTTTCTCATCCGGGTTCTACTCTAGTGATGGCCTGGCGCGCGATGTCATTCGGTGGTTTCCGTAGCGTGTGCTCAATCTATCTTCATTTTCTCCTGAATATTTGTTGAACGATAGGTTCTTGGTTACTCCGCTCCAGAGTTTCTTGTTGCTGACACTTTCTGGCTATTTGATCTTCATTATGGAGCCAGTGAAGGCAGCTGTTGATAAAAGTTTGCACTAGCCTGTTGGAAATGCTTCCCGTGACGCACGTACCAAGTTTCTGACCCGTATAGAAGCAGTGGCTAACCTAACAATGGTGTTGAAAATCCGAATTTTGTTCTTTATACTGAATTCAGAAGATTTCCAAAGTGATTTCAGAGTGATTAAGATCTGTCTTACCTTTCCGATTCTGGTTTAGACATCCTAATCCGTGCCGTCTGCCTATATCTGAAACGATGCTTCCTAGATAAGTGAAGGAAGTAACCTCATTCAATTTTTTTCCTTTGATCGTGACTGGTGCTGGTTGTTGTTTCCTGGTGATGCGTGGATATCTTCATCACCTCCGTCTTCTCTGTGTTCACTTTATTTCTGGTTTTTGCTACTTCTGTCATTTTGTTGGTTTCCGCCTGTAGATCTTCGAGTTTGTGTGACATTAGACACATATCATCCGCAAAATCCAGATCTTCTAGAGTCTTCTTATCGGTCCAACGTATTCCAGTCTTATTGCTCCCGACACACAGTCTCCCACATAGTCCAGTTCACCACAATTAGTAATATCACGAGTGATAGTGGACACCCTTGTCTTACTCTTGTTTTGACCTTAAAGGTATATGAAAATACCAGAATTCTCATTAACATGACTGAAAATATTCGCTTACATATTTACCACAAGCTTTTGGATTTCGATCTGTTTCATCATTTAACGGTCAATATTGAAGGATATTATGATGACTAATGATAATAAAATGTTCTTTTCTGTTCATACATGAAGTAATGCATTTTTATGATATATACTATAAAAAGTAAGTTATCGCCAGAAGTTTATAGTTAACTAATGACAAATTATACCCTTTACATTTTCTTTTCTGTTTAGATAAACATCAGAAGTTTTCCTCTTATTATCAAAATTTAATTCCAGCAAACCTAAGATTTTAGGTATTTCTGTAATAAAACTATTATTGACTTGTGTTTCTGGTGAAAGTTAAATATTGCAGATGGACAGCAGTTGTAATCCACGGACTATCAGATTACTGAATGGCTGGCTTCTTGATTACCTCATAACTTTAAGGCCTTTGTGTTTGTTTTCTGGTGGATTTGTAGGTATATATCACTGGAGAGGACCAAGCTCAGACGAAACAACTGTGCAATGCTCCTTAATCTTTACCAGTCCTCTAACTGACTTCAATTTTATTATGAAATTTGTCCTGAAATGAATCAGGATGTTAGTGATTACTGTTTTACTACCTCAGTCATCCTAAATAACGTGATGGTATAAATCATAATCCCAACAACAGTGTTATTCCAATACCGCAGTTATGGATCTCAAAGAAAGTTATAAGCAGATGTCACACATGCCTTTAGTGTGATTATTTGGTGAATAGCTTCAACAAAATCACTGTCTAGTATTCAAATTGTGGATTCTTTTGTAATAGCAAGTAAATGTAGTCATTAAATTTTTTTCAACATACGAAGACTCTTCATTAATCTGGTGTAA